AGATATTTTTAATAGAAACTTCCTGTAAGTGAGAAAATGAATGGTATGGGCCCCCCGTACCATCAGTACCCCAGATTGTACATTGGGGTACTGATGTTGTGAATAAATGAAAATGGGAGGTAAGTATTGTGGCAAACGTGCCTATGCCTCGAGCTCCTGGAGGAGCCTGCAAGCTAGCCTTCTACCCAAGGACTATGGGCTGCATCCAAAGACCCTGTTTGGGAGTTAAACCTCCACAGCCACCATTAGCAGCATTCCCTGGGTGCCCCTGGTTTGGCACTTTCCCTTCATTCGAATGGAACCAAACACTAGCTCCCTGGTGGCCATTCGCATGAAGAAACCCACAAATCTTCTTCAGCGACATGAAGTGACCGTGCGGCTCTTGGTCCAGGATATTGAACTACTTTATAACCCACCAGGAGAGCGCTTTTTGGACGGAAGGTGCCTGAAACTAAGGGTCACAAACGCTACCTAAGAGTCACCCTATATTTAGGACATAGGAGCTCCCAAACGTTGACCAGCCAAAGCACCAAACGCCCTGGAACTGTTTTGGGCATAGAACCACGTGTGTGGAACTTTAACAGGGTGGTGTTTCCCCTACACTGCATGTATCTGAGAGAACTTGGGCACTCAGATCAGGGCTATTTAGGGATGTACTATTTGTGGGGATATTTTATGTTTTTACGATGTTTTGGGGTATTTTTATGTTTATATTTTATGTTTGTCTCTCTTTTCCTGGGAGATAGTTAACTTACCAGACTTTAACACAATTATCTTCCAGGCACAGAGCTTTATGGGAGGGGCTTGTCTTGCAGTGAATGGAGACCCCAAGCTGAGGGCTGTGTATAAAAGCAGGCAACTTCGCCATAATAAACTAGTGCCTTTACACCTTTCACTCAGTCTCGACTAGTGTTTGGGTATACGCTCTGCAGGAGAGCTTTAATCACTAGAAGCTGGATCCAGCACACTGTTCCAGGGTGGAAAGCGACGGCGAGACCCTGGGCAAGCTGCGAGGGCTAGAGGCTGAAGTGCTGATGGTATCCCAGAGATAGCTAGGGAGAGTGTTTGGCAGAGGTACCCAGTCGGGATACCAGGCCGTCCACCACAAGTATAGCTTTCAGATACATGGATAATTCCTGCATTTCTATCTTTTATCCTTGCCAATCTATATCCACTATAACCACCAACACTCCATCATTTAAAAACTTCACAAAGACAGGTTAAATAAAACATTAAATCAATAATTAAACTAATTGCAGGTGTTGTGCATTTTGCTGATTTGTCACAAACAGTTCATTATTCCTCCAGCATATCATCTATGTGCATTAAAATAACTAAAGGAACATGAATTGATATAAATGATGTTGATGTGAACCTCCTGTGTTAAGAGGCACTGTGTACTTACTATCACTAAATTTTCTCTGTACTTACTGCACAACTCCTTCCTATAATATAACCTGTAAAGTACTAAATAAACCTATTAGTGCTGTATAAATAAAGCATAATACAATGTGCACCTACTGCACTGACTGCACCTTCACTATACTGTTACATAACCTGTAAGTACTAAGATATTATAACAGACAGACAGACAGACAGATAGATAGATAGATAGATAGATAGATAGAGAGAGAGAGAGAGACAGACAGACAGACAGACAGACAGGATATTTGTGTGTGTGTGTTTTTACAAGTTATCTGACACAGCTGCTACAACTCCCATCACTCACACACAGCTGTTTAATGCAGGACTCAATTCAGTAATGGGTGAATCGTAACGTCTTGATGACCCATTTGATAAATAAGCCCGAAATAGCAGAGACAGGACACTAGTCACAATCAATTTAATATTTTTTGAAATCATCTTCCATTTTGTGAATTTTGCAAAACGGTTAACTCATCGTAAGTCACAGTTTAGTGAAGAAATCCCTTTAAGATATATTTAAAATTCAGTCAGGTGAATATATTTTATTTTATATTATATTATATTATATTATATTGTTATGTATTAGACCCATATGTGCTTTTCTCAAATTGATTCTTAAGAAATGTCTTCTTTACAAAGCTCTTTTTTCACACAGTAGTTAAATGCAGTTATTATCACAAACTACAATCATAACAGGTTCAAATGTATTTAATCCATAAAATATATCTCTGTGTATATGCATCATATGAATTTAGATTAGTATACTATGAATGTGTATTTGGAATGTTGGTAACAATGCAGTTCCACTATCTGATACTGGGACATCGCTAACACGAATACCAATCTGCCTTACCATGTATCCTAAATATCCAGCCTTTCTTTTACATTTCCCGATGTCACATATCCTCCAACCTAATTTACCCTTTCCATCACACAGCGTGTGTCCTAAAATGTCTAATTAGGTTTTATTTACGTTAGCACCAATACTTTAAAAGAATTTAAATATTTAATTGTTTATTCTATATATATCTCAAAGGTATATATATATACTATTTTACTGAAAGAATCGAGAGCAGAGCATTCATACCAAGTAATAAGCAATATAATAATTTATATTTTACAAAATAAAAACGAAAAAAAAAAAGAAAAAAACAATAGGCTTACAAGCCCAGGCTTTGTCCTAAAATTGCAATGGATTGTGTATGAATATATCTGGACTGTATGTGAATTACACTTAACTGTCTATGCATTTAGCTATGAATTAATGTTACTGTGTATGAATTTAACAGGACTGTGCGTGAATTACCTTGGTCTGATATTGAATACATTGAACCGAGCATTTATTAAAACTGTGTGTGAATTACGCTTAATTGTCTATGAATTTAGCTATGAATTAAATTTGACTGTGTATGAATGTAACAGGGCTATGTGTAAATTTAACAGTGCTGTGTGTGCATTACCTTGGTCTGATATTGAATACACTGAACCGAGCATTTATTAAAACTGTGTGTGAATTACGGTTGTCTATGAATTTAGCTATGAATTAAATTTGACTGTGTATGAATGTAACAGGGCTGTGTGTAAATTTAACAGTGCTGTGTGTGAATTACCTTGGACTGATACTGAAGTAAGTTAGACCAGGTATGAAATGAATTAAACTGAATTGTGTTCGATTTTAGCAGGATTGTGTAAGAATTACCTGACTAATATTGAATTAATTTGGACTGTGTATGAATGTAAATTAACTGTGTGTTTGACATGCCAAGGGTTAATATGAGGACGTCACCCAAAACTTTCCTCCTGGACAGAATTTAATTCTGTTTATTAAGAAGGCTGTCTTAAGGCGATGATACCATTTAACGACATAAAAGTTATTTGATAGTCGAAAAGGTAAGGCAAACGCTTACTTACCGCAGAAATAAAAAAAAACAAAAAAAAAAACCCCATAAAACTAGGTTGAGAAAAATGAAAAAAAAAAAAAATCGCAAACCATGAAATAACGTAGTTATTATATGTGTAGAATGACAGTTTGCCGCAAATAGAACTATACAATTGTGTGATTGATTCCTGCATTTTATTTATTGTTAATCCACCTATTTTTGCAGCTTCTCCCTCCCAGCCCTTTTCATAAAATCACTGAAAATGTATTTAACTACTTAAATATTTAGGATGTAACCAGTTAACTCCGAATTATAGTGAACTGAAAAATCAGTAGCAACATTTCGGGATAAAATAGCCAAGCTGTGACTAGAGTTGAGTTGGAGATTTTATTCAAATCAGCAATTTTTCCATAAATGTTGTAATTCGGATTTCAGATCGTTACTGTTCCCTGTTAAGTGAATATGCCCCAATTTTGTTTTTAAAATTATTTTTATTAATAAATTTATGTTTGTAATGCAACTAAGCCGAAATCACAGCACAGTGCAAGATTTAGGATGTATGTTGTTACATACAATTAATAACGAACGAATTCCACTGCTAAACAAAGTAAACATACTTATAATTCGATTTTTTTTAATATTCTTTTTAATAATATTTGAGCTTTTTTTTCATCAAAATTTATATTATCTGACTGTTCTATAGTCTAAAGAATTTTTATGTCCTGTGTTTAATTTTTGCGTTGTATTCTCATAGCTAAAGCCATTCTATTGGCAGTGTTTATTATAATAAAACACATATTACACACATAAATACATGTGTATCTGTGTGTACATGGACACACAAATATACCCATGTAGTAGCAATTATATATGTATATATATATGTACAGAAAATATATATATATGTAGTGGTGCTTTGTAGTTTTTTACTATACTATGTTAAATAGTATATTTCAGATAAAATCTGTATATTTAATATAAAACATTCTGAAATAATGACATAAATAGCAAACTTTTTGTAACATCTCATTGTAATATCGAACATGTTGTCCTCCAAGAAAAAGTAAGAAAAAATAGTGGAAATGGCTTAAAAAGTTCAGCTCTAAATTAACCCAAATATTTAATGATTATTATTATTATTATTTTATGACTATTATTATAAGTTGTGTTACCATGTATTGCAGTAAGTTACTATAGCAACTGAGACAGGTGGATGAAGTTATAATCTCCCCCCTCCCCCCCCCAGTACATTAGAACACTCAGCAAGGTAGTAAATAATATAACATCTCTCAGTACATCTAATAAAAGCCAGTTAGATAGTACTTGGCATATATTGCCCTAGATACTTTATTTATTGCCAGGTCCACATGTTATATCAGCAGGTATGGATGATTTACTGTAAACATTGATCTGGGATGCAGAGATGGGAATGTGTATATAGATGTTACTTATGTCTATAATTGCTGCCCTATAATCATTCATTACTCCAGCTCAGGTAATTGGCTTGCAGGCCTGGTTTAAATTAAAAGTAAGAGTGTAATCTCTCTGCTAATTTGTTTTAGTGGGGAAGAATCATCTTCTGCTTTGCATAGGGAAGCCCTGCCTCTCTGTCTGTCAGAATGTCTGTCTGTCCCTGCAGGAGGTCAGGGATGTTACAGGTTTATACTGTAGGCTCTGGGCGGGGACACTGAGCCTCCCACACAAGTGATTTGGGAAACTTTTCTCGTTGTATCATTCCTCCAGCACACTTTACACAGCTAACTCACCCAGGCAGGATCTGGTTGTTCTCCCCCAGCCCTGGTGGGACATAGAAGCAGCAGCTTGTGGACCTGAAGAGCCAGGCAGCAGAGGACTTCTGGGGAGCAGATGCCTTTTTCTAAACCTTCTAAACCCCAAGGAGAATGAGTGTGGGTTTTGCTGAATTCAAGAACATTTTGGGGGTATTGGACTCTGTGCTATAAGAACTACCCTGGTGTGCCTGTTCTGGGGGGGTGGATTTATTGGGCTTCTTCTAAACTCGCAGAGAGGGTCAGCGAACATGCAGCACCCCTTGGAAATAGGGGCTCATTATTTACCCCATGACGCGTTTGCAGATCACAGGTCCCATCGCTACAGAAGTTTTATGATCGAAGAGATACTGACTGATCACCAGGATTCCAAGATTTCAGCGCCTTCTGGGGAGCTTCTGAAATTTGGGGTGCAAGCATTACTCTCGGCCAGACCTTATCACAACCACCTAGGTATGTGTCACTATCCTAGGTACCAAAACGCTATGCATTCTCCTGTAACCTATTCACAGCCAGAGCCCTGTTAAAATGTCACAGTTCTTTCCAGGATGAGTCACCCAGTGCTTGTAAAAGGAACACAGAGACTCTCCCAAAATCCTGCATTCAAATTCTGTGCTAATATATGTGTGCAAAACCTAAAAAAAAAATATCAATCCTATTTTATCTCTAACAACCATCATAAGCTAATACAAAAAAAGTCTCAATTCGATAAAGATATAAATATATACTATGCAACTGTCTACTTTGATTTAGAAAACATACACATCTTTCATTTTAGTACAATTATGCATGTGCATCCTGTTTTCAATGTGTATACTAAAATATATAAAATACTCCAAGAAACAGAGTATGGTTGTATGTTGGAAAATATATTATAGTAACTTTTTCAAGGAACATTTAACACATTGACAACATTTCTGGAGGTTTAATATACATCCTACATTTATTGCATTCATAAAATGTATAAGAACGTCTATGGAAAGAATATTGTGTGTAAAGAAAAATAAAAAATATGTAACGTTTTATACAAGTAGGTACATACACAAACTCCTGATAATTTATAATAGTTATTATACCTCTACATTCTGCATTCTGTTATTACACCTCTACGTTCTGCATTGTTATTACACCTCTACGTTCTGCATTCTGTGTATATTCTAATATAGATCTATGTCTAGGAAGAGAACATTGATGTGAGTTGTAAAACATAATCAGTTATAATTAATAATTACACAGTATCAAGCTTATTCACTAAAGTGAGAATTTAAAGTGAATTTCAAATTTAAGGCCACAATAGTCAGCTATGCTTTCATTTCAGCTGCCCTGGCCTTGAATTCGAAATTCACTTCGAATTCTCTGTTTTGTGAATAACTGTGTGATACTGGAGCACATATAAAAATAGTTAACTGGATTAATAAGTCATTTACAAAATATACAGGCAGTAGTTGCAATTATGCAAGCACACCAGTTAACACTAGGCACAGATTCGAAAAAGTATAAAGTATCGAAACTAAAAATCGACAGAACTAGAAATCTAATTTGTATATATATTACGTTTTATTTTTTTATTTTCATTTTTTTTGTCAATTAGTGTATTTTGCAAGTGTAGTCCATATAATCTAGATACAATAATTTCACTTTTTTTATGATAATCCCAATCTGTACATATTTAAATACATTTTTATTGTGAGTGTTTTCTTTGTTGCACACATATTATATATACATCGACACACAAATATGATATACAATATTTGATGCTGAACTGTTCCACGTTGTCCTATGACGAATCCCTCGGCCCATTTGATCTGTTTTTTTTGTAGACTTGCAAGGCCTGTTAAGCAATCACTGAATGATTGATATATATTATAAATTGTAATTACATGCAATTATATAAGCATGCAATGTAATTATGTGTTTATTACAATTGTTATTAATTATTATATTATGATCTGTATGGTGTTGCAATAGGATTATATCTAGATGTATTTAAACCAACAGATTCAAAAGTAACGTTTCCACTTTTACTAGAAAAATATCCATCTGTGACTAGATTTTAATTAGGAATATTTGCAGATTAATGGACAGGTAGATCAAATAATGGATTTAAGTAAATTTAATGAGTCCTTTCAATAAATAACTGGACAAAAATAGAGTTTGAAAAAATATTAAGTCTATCCCTGAATATTCTTTTTTTTTTTTTTTTTTATAATTCTTATACATAGTTATCGTAATTAATAATACTATACTAATGATTATTTATCACATGTATGATTTGAATTACCCTTTTCTATATTTATCTCACTATCTGCTTAAAAAAAAAATTATATATATATCTTTAAATACATAGTAAGCAAAACAATGATTTAATAATGTTAACACGTTGGATGCTGATGAGTCGTTAAACCGATGTATTCAAGTCCCAACTGGTCCCTGAAGTTAGTTCATCCATTGAACTGATTTTTAATGAGCTAATTAATAAAATTAGTTTCATTCATCAAAATTTAACAGACACAATATCATAGCCCATCAAAGTGATTTAGGATAAATAAAATGAAAATTAGTGCGCATGACCAATTATTATGTTACGTAAAATAATTTTAATAAAGATTTCAATTTAAAAAGTTAGCTCACATACACGTTAAGGCAGACTTGTGCAAACATAGGCAATGTAACTAGCACACACAAGTAAGTTTGACAGACACACACAAAGTACAGAGATTGCTCACCCTAATATATTCACATATATATATAGTTTAATACACCCCCCACACACATATTATATATGTAATGTCTCACATAATCCTAGTTTTAAAACAGAAATCCACATTGCAGAATTATATCACAGATTAGAAATATAAACAGCTTTAGAAGGGATGTAAAATTATACATAGGATATGTGAGGTATGCAATTCCCACACTGTATTTTATAGTAATATGTATTTAATGGACAAGAACAAATTATATCTGATTAATTATTTTTATTCTAAACTGATAGCTGCATTATAACTGCAGTCTTAATAAAGCTTTAGATATAGTTGGGGTACCACTAATTAATATTATTCTACTTTATACTATAAATTACACAGAAACTTTTATTTCAGTCACACCCAGACACCCAGAGTGATAATTCTCTGTAACCCTATCTGAGCTATAACTCCTTGTCCAATAATGAATACTGCTAGCCTTGTTGTTGAACATTAAATGCAGAACATCCAGGATTGGAAAACAGGAAAATGAAACTACACCACACTGCCCAGTAATAATTCCCATAATGCATTTGGAATGTTTTGGATATTTAACTATCTGGATGCCAGCACTATATCTCCCTAGTATACTGCCAAATTCATTAGCTTTTTTTAACTCTATGTTTGCCATTAGCTCTTCAAGAAATCACAGTTCTAATCTTTCAAATATCTGTGTTTGAGTGATTATATTTCACATATTTCTATGTGTAAGTTTTGAGTATAGCAAATTATCTATCTATCTATCTATCTATCTTTATAGCTGTCTGTCTGTCTGCTTGTCTGTCTGTGTTTCTGTCTCACAGCAGCATACTCTGTAAGATACACAAAATGTAGGTTATATCTACACTGAAATATTCACACTGCAAGATATGCATTCTGTAAACTAAATATAGTGTAAAATGCATATACTTCAGCCATCCAAACTAAATTTACTGTAAAGTATGCAGTCTGTAATCTATACACAGTTAAAAATAACACACAGCTATACTAGATACATTGTAAAACACACACAATGTAGGCCACACATACTGTATGATACACTAGAGTGTAGGATTTATACACACATACACATAATGTGTAGTTTATACAAAGTTGGAGTTACACAATGCAGTCTATTCAAAATTTAGGCCAAAATTGAAGAGTTGGAAAAATATGCCATACAGCTGAATTGGAGATTTTTTACTACTAGACTTTTTTAGCCTAAGATTTGTAAGTCTGTTCTCAAATTGCCACCAAAAGATATGTAAGAAATCCTTTAAGGCTGGCTTTATACACAATAAGATGTGCGTTGCGGTGTATATACAAAGGGATATGTGTACACTGCTGAGAAAATGTACTCCAAGATACTCATTAACTATTATGATAGCAATAGTACTTTTAACCACAGGGTTTTGACCAAAATTTGGGTTTCCATGCTATTTGTATGGATCCTAGTTGTTGGAACAGCAAAATAATTTTATCATCCCCATGCTACTGCTATAATAAGGTCTTTACTAAGCGTCTTTGCAGTCCCTAGTGCAATGGAGACCTCCCCGGACAGTGGTGTTTTGGGGATTTAAAAAAAAATTATATTTAATTTGAAGAATGGGTCACTGAGTTAACCGCTCAAGTGGAGAATTAAGAAATGTTTAAGAAACACTAGTAAGTCATATTACACTATTAAAAATATATATATATATTTTCCTATTTGCGCCTCAGATAATTCAACCTTCTCCAACCTTTTTTTTCTTTGAAATACATTTTTATTAATAACATTTTTATATAATAAACACGACAAAACACTCAATAATCAAAAACAAGAGCATTTTTTTTTTAGTGTTCTGTTTTTATTTGTCTTGGTTTACCAATTTGACACTTCCAATGTAGAAAAAATGGTTGCAAAGAGCGTCTTACTTTCTGAGAAAGATATTTTTGCCGCTGTCAAAGTGTTGTGTGTCTTGTGACAGGTAATTCTTTTTTCACAGTCTTCTTTTTTGTTGAGGGTTTAAAAAAAATATTCAGATTGCTAATACGGCCTTTATTGCCCTAGTAATATTACTCATTTGTCTTATTTTATTAATTCAATAAACAAGATAATATTGTGAAATGTAAGGCTGTAGCAGAAACAGTAATCTTCTTCTTGTCTCTTTGCAGCTTTATTAAAGGCAGAACAAGCTTCAGTTTTCAAGTTCCCTTTGAACCCCCTCTCATGTCCTGGACTGGGATCCCCAATCAGCTCTGCCCTGCTGGCTGCAGGCTCTGGCCTCCAGGGAGGTCCAGGATCCCCACATCACTTGCCTCTAGAATTGCACCTCAGGGGAAAACTGGAGGCTGGCCTCTCAGATCAGGGTAGTAAGGCCAAGAAGGGAAGAAGGAGCAGGACTGTGTTTACTGAACTACAACTCATGGGTCTGGAAAAAAGATTTGAGAAACAGAAATACCTCTCCACACCTGACAGGTAAATCACTGGCTCCTCTCAGGTACATCACCTCACCTGAGTGGTAATTGACAAACACATCTCCACACAGCACAGGTGAATCAGACAACTTTAGATACATTGATAGGTAGATAACAGACAACTTTGGATACATTGATAGGTAGATAACAGACAACTTTGGATACATTGTAGTAAAACAACCTCCCCCCCCACACACAACTGGTAGGTAGATCACAGACACTTGTCCACCACCAACTCTTCAGTTAGCATACACACGTACATCACAGTTGCCTCTCCACTCCTACAGGCAAATTATATGTACCTCTCTACTCATTCTGCCAAATCACAGACACCTTTCTAGTCAGCATGAACACAGCTCAATCACAGGTACCTCTCCAATCCTACAGGTAAATACAAGGTATCATCTAATCCTATTGATAAATCACCAACAGCTCTCAAAATCCAACATACATATCAAAAACCTCTCATTGTCTTCAAGGTAACTCCTAGACATGACAGTACACTCATAGAGACCTCTAAACGCATGACAGGTAAATTAACCGGTCAGCTATTAATACATTAGAGGAAACTCAGACACCTCTCCTACCACTCATGTAAATCACAGACAGCTCTCTTAACCAGACAGATAAATCAGACACTCTTCGGAGTCTGCAATGTAAATCACTGACACATATTTAGGCCTGAAACTTAAGTCAAACACTGCATCACACCATAAAGGCATACAGGTAAATCAGACACCTTTGGAAGGTGAATTCATAAAGGCCTTTGCACAATATACAGCCAGCACCACTCCTGACAGTAAAATCTCAGACACTACCCCACACATATTGCTCTTTGCCTATGATACAATAATCACAGACAGCTCTCCATGCTACAAAACTAATTTACAAACATTTTCACACAGCACAGGTAAATGACACCTATCTCTCCACTCCAAACATGTAAATAACATTCACTATTCCATATCTGAGGATTAATAAAGAAATCTCACATCTAGGTAGGTAAATCAGAGACTCATCTCTTTTCTTTGTAGGTGAATTCATAGACATATGTCTCTACTTTTTATGTTTGAATTCCTTTCCAGGAAACTGATAATAGTTTTTGTGTTTTCCAATTGCACACATATTTCAGTGATCTTCCTATTCCAAACGTAGTGCTAGGTTCTTTCTATTTTATAGGTATCAAATTATTTGTTCTCTATATAAAGGCATTTTTGTTGTTTTGTGTATAACACCACTGTAAATATAATTTTAGTCGCAATGTGTTTTTGTTAGTTAATAATGGCATAGGGTAGTTTGAGTGATTGAAGAAAGATTTCAAAAAAGGCACCTGGCTTTCATAAGCAGCACATTTTGTTTAATACTGTAATTTCGATAACAGGGTTAGCCAACATTCCATATTGTCACATAAAAAGAAAAAGAAAAGACTAAAGAGTTCCTTGATCATTGGTAAATTAGGACACAATGGATATCTCTGAAATGTATGCTAAGAATTTCCCGGCTTAGTACACATACTGAATACTGTAGTGTTTTTATAAAAGAATGAAATGTGTTGGATCTGTCCAATTTTGAGCATAGTAAAAATGATCAAAATCTGATCCTATGATTTTTGTTTTTGTTTTAAAAGTTATAGTGTGGTCAATATATGGACTATTTAAAGCCATGGCCTACATGTCTTGTTTGCAAAATCAGAAAGCTAATTCACTGCCCTTTCACTTTAACTAGATTGATAGCTGGGGTCAGTCAACAATCACATTGTATACAGCATTATGTTAAAAAAGGAGGGCAGTTTAATATCTTCACAACCAAAATCATATACACGTTTACGTATTGTTATGTAATGCAAAGCCCAACTATCCTTCCGCTTTTGGTCCAGAATGGTGTTTTGAGGATTAAGTAAAAACATTTGACTGTCAGGGATACACTCTCAGCATTGGTATTGAGAATGCTAACCCCTACTTTTCTTATCCCATACACTAGGCAAGTTCACAGAAGTTAACTTTACTTATTCGTTCATAAAATCATGGAGATATTAATGGGATGGTAATACATGTAGAACATTATTATATGTAAGGTGCAGTAGCAGTTTGCAAATCCCTGTATAGTTCAATATTTGTACAGCCATTATTCTCACGCACGCACGCACGCACGCACGCACGCATGCCCGCACACATATATATTGCATTATTTTATATTCTGTTTGCACAGTTCTAAGGTACCATAGCTAAATACCATTGGGTTCTTTACTAATAGCCACATGCACAGTATGTAACTATTTATAGTTGTTTGTTAAATCTACTGTTTTGTTATTTCTGGAAAAATGCAAAGACCCCACTAGGGACAATTCGGCTTTGCTGTATAGCGCTACCGGTATATACACACTCTTGCATTTATCTCACATTTATTTGCTAGCTATGAATCCCATGTTTCAATTCTATATTAATATGTGTAAACAAAACTTGTACTGTAGTTAGAGGGACACTATAAGCACCAGAACCACTATGGTATTTCAGGGTAATACAAACTCACCCTGCAACATCCACAGTGTAAACACTGCCTTTTCTTGAGAAACCACCTCTTGTGGCTGTCACTCTTACAGCAACTAGAGGGGCTTCCTGGGATCAGTCCTTCAAAGATTGACACTCTGCAAGGAGACCCTGAAAACGCCCCATAAAATGAATTGACTTCCTTTGCTTCCCCTATAGAGAACTGATGATCTCAGCTTTGGAGATGGGGTGGCAGCACAAAGATGTGCAGGTTGGGAGGGGAAAGGAAAATGTGTTTCTTAGTTTTGGGTGGGGAAGGGGGGAATCAATAATTAAACCAGGTATGATAGCACTATAGCATTAACGGTATGTTTCTATTTCTAATGCTGTAGTGTTACTTTAAGTTAATTTACATTCTAACTGTGCCTCTTCTGTCCCCAGAAAGAATGGCCACAGGAGTTAAATTGTGCATGCTTTCTTATAATAACTTGGATTCTGTACATGTAAATGTATACAGAATTTGATAAGGAATTATGTTATGCCAGAATCGGGAACAGAACTCATCTCTTTAAATGGATATTCAATATCTGCAAGCAACTATACATGCTAAAAATATTTTCACATTACTGTAAATTGATTTACAGCAAAACAAACAACAAATTTGATGTTCTGATCTTTGGGTGGGTGAAATTACAGAGTAAAATTTACCAATTTTTCCAATTCTGCTTTCAGGATAGACCTGGCGGAGTCACTCGGCCTCAGTCAGCTTCAAGTGAAAACCTGGTACCAGAACCGGAGGATGAAATGGAAGAAAATAGTGAGTAATAATCTGTTGTCTGGCTATAGCAAAACAAACAAAAAAACAGTAATAGCCATATTATAATGCAACCAAGAAAGTGTTGTGTTTAGCTAATGGGAAGCAAGAAAGACATATACCCTTTTTCTTACTGGTTACTTAAACAGAGGCAGATTAAGAACTAGGGAGGCCTAGGGTGGCTATAAAAGGGTATACTCTCCAACCTATTCATAAACATTTAAACATTGAGTTTGCCAGTGGAAGCACAAATAAATCCATCAAGTTTTTTGTTTTTTTTCAAACATGTCAGTACTTGCTGGATATTAATATCACTGTTAAACTCAATCATAAATGCCAGTGTGGGACTAAATAGCTTGTGCAACTAATTGTTTCAGTCCAATATAACTCCAGAGGATAATCTCTCCATGAAATGACTTGAAATTAGTCCCATGGCCACCAAATGTCCTTTATTCACGTAAATGGCCTTCTAGACCAACTAACACATAGTGGATCTCATACTCAAGTTAGATCGGTACACATGTTATATCTGACATGCACATGTTTAATCCGGAATATGTGATGGACCCGGTACAACTGCTTTTCTCTGCTTATAAATTGTCATCCTTATCATTACGTATCACCCTATGCTGATAGCTCAAGTATTTTAACACCGGCCAACAGAGTCTACAAGTTATTCCACCACACCATCCAAAGCTGACCCACCACACCAGAAGCTTCTAATTCTGATCCATTTGGCCTGGTAGACATGGGCATCTACAGCATTTGGAAAGGATCTACTAGTGACGGTTCCTAATCACATTATTGCTTTTGCTCCCTCCTAGAAAATTTTCTGCACACACCACTGGTTGTACAGTACATCTTTTTACCATCATTAAAAAAAAGTGAAGCACTCTGTAATTTATATATTATAACATAGTATACGTTTGGTGAATCTTTGCTTAATTTGTTTCATTTCAGTTTCCAAATTTCTCCCCTATCAATTACCAAACAGTGACTATGTATTTTTTAATTTAATAAATTAATGTTACATGTAAATTAGTTTACATGCCACTACAACTTACTGCAGTCTACATGGCTGTGCTATTACTAATACAAATTCTAATATATATGCAGAACATTTATTAAAAAGAAAGATTATCAGATATTTTATAGTAGACCAGGATGTTCATGATACGAAGGAACCAAATTTAATAAAAATGCATATGTGCTAATCAGTGTAATAATATTATTAACATAAAGAAATGAAACACATTTTGTCAGAACCATACACAAACATAATTGAATATCAATGACAAACATATATAATTACAAACAGCTACACAAACATTTAATCACAAGCATAAATATAGAAATTATTACAATTCTACCTATACCTATGCACACAATTTCAGATATACACACTTAATCACACACAACAAGAAACTTACACATGAGGGGACTTAATCATTACACAAATAATTGTAATAAATTTAGAAATGAAACAAATTGTAAAATTTAGACTAAAATAGCCAAACTAGGACTGTGAGTTGGGGACTTTTTCCAAATCAGCCATTGTGTTAATTTTATGACTCTCTGGGTAATTCCGAACCCAGAATAAATCCTCAGGATTTAAGTTACTTTACCAATAATTTCAAGTGTTAGCCAAAAACAGTCACACTAAAAACATAACTGAGAGATTGTTTTTTCACCTTTACCTATTTAGAGCTAACATTTGAAATTCTCCTAATTTCTGACAATTCACACTTTAGTGAATAACTTTGTCAGTTCTAAATTCACTGCACTGTGTTTTAAGATTATAAGTATCACAGTTATAAACATAGATATATATGTAATCACACATAAACATGCACGCACACACAAGCAAACACAAACAATATCTGGAACACATCTGTGTGCAATTTTACCTTGATGACTTTTTCAACTCAATTTACTTTTCATTTAGGTTTTACAAGGTGGGGGCCTTGAATCTCCAACAAAACCAAAAGGCCGCCCCAAAAAGAATTCTATCCCCACCAGTGAACAACTAACTGAGCAAGAACGGGCAAAGGAGGCAGACAAACAGACAGACAATGTTCACTCACCTTCAGAGGTGACCCAAGAGGAATGAAAATACCTCCCAAAACACATAGAGAACACAATAGAGAAACTTGGCTGTGGACACAGAGACTTATCCTTGATATTGTGCTACTTCATCAAAATTGTACAGGGACTTCTCCTTGTATATAATGACTTACCTACAGCAGATGCACAGAGCTATGGATTTACATGCATAAAGAGACTTATCCTTGTGCATATAGCCTTGGACGAAGTATCTGCGCAGAGCGATTTATCCATATCCACCATGGCTACAGAGCGATTTATCAAACTGCGCAGAGACAGTGATTCTGGACAGTCTGGGTTACCAGATCTGCACCCCTGGGGTATAAAGACCAGTCCTGACCTGTTAGACTTGGTTTCGTTTAATCATTCTGATTTCCAGAATGTGGATTTTTAATATATGGAAAAATAAATAAATAAAAATTCTACAGCTGTAATGTCCCCCAGGAGAGGCAGTGACAGTACCAGGGTTAGTAGAATATTTACTAATATTTTTGTGGATTATTTTATATTTAACTTTTTGTGTGTGTGTGTTTGTTTTTGTCCTCTGTAAATATGACGCTACACAAACATTTCGCATTTTTTTTTCTGTACGCGTTTTAAAATGTTACATTTTTGTATTTTATCTAAAAACGTTATTAAAATGTTTAAAAACGTTTCAAAATTCTCATTTCATGAATTTTACGAATTGAATAAAATATCTAAATCGATCTCACCTCGATCCCAGTATTTAAGTCAATTAGTAGTGTCTTAGAGGTACCTCAAAATTTAGCAGACTACTCATTTTTCTCCAGCAGTATATTAATATATGATTAGAAAAAGATTTACTAAAAAAAATAAAAAATTATAATAATAATCATGCCGTGTGTATACTAGGACCGTTGTATTTATTATCTATTATTAACTTTTATTCAGAAATCAGAGAATACTCACTCAAAAATATTTCACGGGATAGGATAAATTCAACTTATTCACACATAGGGATCTATTCACCAAAGAGCAAGTTGTAGTGAACTGACAGTTTTTTTTCAACATTATTTTCTCTTGGAATATGTGTGTCTACATTAACTCGCCGCAGCTCGCTGTTTAGTAAATACGTCTCTTATTTATTTTAGAGGAGCCACAATATGAACAGGAGTTTGGGAGCAAACCTTATTACAACAGATCCTGTTGGTATTAAATATAAAATAATCTAAAAAAAAAATAAAAAAATAAACGCTGTTCCTGCAAAGCGGAATTACTGCCCTAGGGATTTGTAAATGTTTCCTTGTTATTTATTTAGATACTGATACAGATAATGTGTATAATGTGAGTATGTGTGTGAATACATATAAATATATATTACACATTACAAGTCATATGATTTATTTGTGATTATCTCTACCTATGTGTCTATTTATTCTGTTTAATTCTATTTAAGATATGTTCATATTATATTGCAATATAATGCTTTCATTCTGTGTAAGAATCGAAAATAGAAACATTTAGTAAGAAAACTCCAGATTTTCATTGACATACACCTGAATTCATATACATTTCCCTTATTTCAGTTTTAAACTTTATCTACAATAAATTTATTTTCCTTAAAAAAAATAAATAAATAAATAAATAAATAAATAAAATTAAAAATATTAGTTCCTCATGACACATACCAATGGTTTCAGCATAATATATATATATATTTTTCATGGTATAATCAAGCTGTTGTAGGTTGATACATAGAAAAGAATTAATTCATAGTCATTCTATATAATTATCTAATGTGATTTATATCGAGAACATACTCTAATTTTGCAGCAATGAAAACGAGAACGTAATTTGTATTAATCTTATTAACTATTACTCATTTTAGTTTATTGTCCTGGCAGTGAGTCTGAATTACAATTTCTTCAAATGTATTCAATATTTGAGGATTTTGCTTATTATCCGGGCTGTCATCAGCTAAATGAGAGGGGTTAAGTTTTTGAAGAAACATTATTTTTGCTAAGGTTTTTAGGAGCCCTCGGGCCTTTTAACCCTTCCTGCTCCAAAGACTGTCAATCAAAATGCTAAAGCATCTTTATTATGTGGAATCTGAGCTGTCTCAAAAGTGACACCAACGTCAACCAAAAGGAAATTCATACTTACAATTAATTACAAGGGTTATTTAACTAAACGCCCAAATACTGCATTGCAGAGAACTGGGTCTGACTTGGGATAATCACCAAGAAACACAGCATGGGGCTATGGGGATAAATAATAAAATATGGAGCACACAGAACTCCACTTATTAATAGTTTGGATGGAGAGCTATTAATAAAAGCCTGAAGGGCTGAGTGAAACTTTATGTCTGCATGTTATTAAATAGCCAAGTGAGGAGGTATTTGTATTATTAAATGCCTGAAGGGAGATGCCTATTATAAAAGGCCTGATGCATGGTAGGGCTATATAAAAACTGTTAAATGCCTGGGGCAGTGTGACTATTAGGCATTATTAAATAGCTGGAAGAGTTAGCTAGATTATTAAATGCATTGTTGTTGTTTTACCTGAGGATGCAAGAACGTCGATATCATTAAATCACCCATTCTCTAAACTGCAATTTCAAAGCTCACAGAATGCAATAGTCTTTTTTAATAACTCCAAATCTATGCAAATAGAAAGGGGGTTTAGTGTATGATCATACATTGCATAATATACCCCATTATTGGCAGGTCGTATCCTAGCAACCTAATTCCTGCTCTCATGAGATAAAATCTTTATTGATTTGTGTGTGTATATATATATATATGAGAATCACTGATAATTCAAGAAAAAAATATATATACTCAAATCAATAAAGATTTTCTCTCATAAGAGCAGGCATTAGGTTATATATATATATATTATCAGTTATTTATATATTCACAGGGATAATAATTAGGTTTTAACTTAATCTGAAGTCAGACTAGGATTAATTGAATATGAAAAAGTGTTTTCAAATGACACTATAAATAAATAGTAAATGTTTTTAAAATATATATCTCCTGACTGTTTCTTCCTTTTTATATGTTATATTTTTTCTCCTTTTTAATTCTATCTGTAAATGTATGGGGTTTATTCACTAAACAGTGTATTGCTGAAAATTGCATCATTTAGGCCAGAACTGATTTGGAAAATAGTCAAAGCTACTATAGTCTGATTTTTGCAATGTGACTTAGGTTCAGCACAGCTCAGTGATGGTTAATATATAAAGTGAGGGTTCAGGGTAAATTTCGATGTGAGTAGGAGAAACGAAAGCAATGCAGAATATATGCAGTTCGGCTATTTCAAACTTGAATTTGAAATTCACTTAGAATTTGAAGTTTAGTGAATAACTATTTCTGCTATAGATTAACAAAATGCTAAAAAAAAAAATATATATATGTGTGTGTTTATGTCTAATATACCTATGGCTATCGAAGATATATGAATAGACATAGTTGTATAGAGGTTTGTATGGAAATACCCCAACATGTTAAAATATTTCCAATATTTGTGAAGATACAATATTTGTATATTGCAACAATCAATGAACATGCACTCAGCATAAAAGGTCTATTTTTTTTTTTTTTTTATCAAAGTGTTACAATCTGAACTGTTGTATGTGATTGTTCTGCTTTAGTCTATTCTAGGTGGAGCAGTTAACTTGAAACTTCTATTATAGTCTTTTAATAAGAGTAATATGTCAATACAGAAATCTATATTAATAAAATAAAAATATCCATCTTTGACAATTTCTCTGCTGATTTGTTATTAAATTAGTTTTTTTTTTTTTTTTTTCATTTCTCCACTATTACTATTTTAGTGAATAAATTACCTAGTTATATTATGAGTGGGTCATATATGCAGGGTCCTATAAGTGAATGGAAGTGAATTTCACAGTTTAGGAGCATAAAGTCTAAACATAGTCCCCAGACTAAGAGATGATGTAATATGTCCTATTCCTTTCAATTGCTATACTGCATTTTCATATTATGACATTGCATTAACATAATCTAAAATATCATTCTATTTTATTATCAATCACATTTTATTTATTTTATTGCATGTTCATCTATCATGCTTTTAATTTATTCTTAATAATGATGCTATTTTGTAATGCTGTTTTATTTTATTTTGCATACTATTTACACAACAGCATTTACTCAGAAATTATTATTACACAGTCACCAGGTGATAGATACCTCTGTCTAGATTTATATAAAAAAAGATTAAATCAAGAGCCATAATCACATTCTGTCTCTTTCAATACTGTACAGATATGGAAAAACAATCAAACAAACGTCTGCTGGTTTAATAATGTATAATGTATCAGAATTATTTGATTAACAAAAGTAGAAAGCTCCACATGCGATTTATACAGCGTCTTCTAATAAGGAACATGACAAAAGTGAGTTTTTCTGTGTCATTAACCCCTTGAATGCCTTCCAGTCATATTCATACCTTGAGTGATTGGTTCCATTTTCTTTAACCCTTTGAATAACGTATTCCTGCATTACTCCCTGGAATGAATAACTTCAATGACACAAGTCCATTAGTTGCTTTACTCCAGTAGCATTAACCCTTTGAGTTAAGGGCTGCTGACATTAACCTCTTAACTAGTGAGTTCCATTAATATTAACCCTTTCAGAGACTGGCTTCCACTGACATTAACTACTTAATTGAATGAAAGGCCACAGCCATTTTAACTCTCAGTCTATGAAAGGTTTCAGTGACATTAATCACTTGGCTGGGACACTAAATATTTTTTTTTTGTGAAGAGATCCACTGACTAACATACCTTGTATGAAGGGCCCCAGTGTCTTGAAATAAGGAGGGTAAGGATATTAACACTTGAGGTGCCAGTGAGTTTGAGAACGAAGACACCTAACCACTCAAAGTGGTGTAATTAAGGTAGATTACCCAAAGTGTGAGATTGTATTTGATAAAATGGTGTTGTTTTTAAATTGGGATGTGCTAATTACCTTCCTCCCTATTGCTCCAGAGCCAGAGCTTTGCACCTGTCAGATTATCTTGGCAGGAATAGGTTGAGATATAGGTCAAAAAGTTACATAAATTGCTGGTTTGTTGAAGGGCAAGTGCAGACAATCTCCTCTCCCTCTCCCCCCTCTCTTTTTGCAGAGCTACAGTTATAACATGACATATACTCAATTCAGAACAATTACAATTAAATAAAGCATTTAGTCTTATTTGCCAAAATAATACTTGTGGAATGTAAAATACAAGAATAATAAGACTCAGACACACCCATGCACACACTAGCGCGCACACACACACACACAAACACACACACACTCCCTCTCTCTCTCTCTCATCTCGTTTAGCACCATCCAATGAGCTTTCACATGTATAAAATATTGGATTTACATATTTATCACTGATTTTATATTGGATCTTGCCTGTTTTTTGCAGCTAATTTTTTTGAACTCTAACAGGCAAATAAAAAAAATAAAAAAACCCTCAGCACTACAAGGGTCAAGCGTTGAGGATGCTGGCCATTTCTTCCTATCCTGCCTCGAAAGTAAAATTTTAAAAAGCATATTGTGGTCAAAATGTTCCATATAATAATTGTCAGGTCAACTCCTCCCACTTCACTGCCCAAAAAACAAACAAAGAATACTGTTAAGTATATACACCCACAACGAAAACTTGCATGCATTTATTTGCACATTTTGTCATTGACGTATACCTAAAAACAGCTTGCAAAACCTGCAGATCTCTTGTCTGAAACCTTTGTAAGCCCTCCCTTTCTAACCCCACCCAGACTTTCTGTGGCTGTCCAATCAAAGACTTTCCATTGCAACTCCAGGAGAGATCTTTGCAAGGCATGTGCTGCCTCTTGAGTTTAGCTCCACTGAGCTAAACAAAGGGAGGTAACATTTCTGGTTGTCTGATTGACAGACTGGGGGGTGTAACAAGGTTAATTTATAAGAGTGACAATTTCTATTGAAATCTGCCCATTTTGTAAAATGAAAAAACAGGACACATTCTTCACACATAAAGTACTTCATTAAACTAAAGTACTTTAAAAGTGTGCAATGTTCCTTTAACCTTCACCTGACATTCCTGAGCAGCCAGTGAATGTTAAACCATTGCTACCACAGTCCTGAGCAGTGGGATGGGGTATTAATATAATAGTGTACACTTGGAAGGTTACATGGTCTAGCTAAGGCTGCCCAGTTGCTGAAGGCCCCATTTCATTTGCTGTGGGATGGGACCTGTTATAACACAGGGGACCTGCCAGCCTCCCCATCTCCTACATGAGGGCACGTGCATATATTGCATTTTTATATCTAATTAACAACAAAAATAATTTTTTTGTGCTGGAGACTTTCAGCCTGACGTCTGTTTAAAAAAATAAAATAAATTTCTTCTTACATATATGCAGAGTATCTCAGTGTGAGATCAGTGTGAGCTGAGCCACTGACTTCATTCTGTCCCACAGCCAATCACATATTTTCTGTAGAGTGTTTCTAAGAGGAATATATGAGGACAAAGATTCGCTATGAGTTATGTCAGCAACTCAGCTCACACTGCTTTCTCATTGGCTGAGCACATACTAAGAGTAATTCTTATAAGGAAGTTATTTTGTTAAAACACAGATGTGACTAAGGGGGTGTGGTTATGCTGCACAAAGCTTAAAAACTTTTTTTTTTTTTAGAGATTTGAACTGATACAACATAAATATGAGTCCAAAACAGATCACATGAACAGTTGTGTTGGTGCCTGGAGAGACCTAAATAAAATTGCTTAACCTTTTCCAGTCATATTAAGTCAATAGATACTACTTTCTCTTTATAGGGATACTTCTACTAAAAAAGAATGAGAAACACTGCTGTCTCTGTGACACTGTCTTCTCGTGGTTCTCCTCCTATCTCTCCCAACGTTCGTTCAGTGTCTCCTTTTGCAATGACACCTAATCCTCTCGCCCTGTCTCGGTTGGAGTCCCCCAAGGATCTGTTCTTGGTCCCCTTCTGTTCTCCCTTTATAGTGACTCTCTTGGCAAACTCATTAACTCTTTTGGATTCTGCTACCATCTGTATGCCAACGACATCCAGATATATCTCCTCCCTTGTTCTCTCCCCCGAGGTCCTACAACGTGTCACTGCTTGCCTTTCTTTAATCTCATATTGGATGTCCTCCCGCTTTCTGAAACTCAATCTCTCTAAAACTGAGCTTCTTATTTTTCCCCCTTGTAATTCTGATCCTCCTCCTTCGATTTCCCTGCAAGTTGATGGTACTTGCTTTAGTCCATCCTTGCAAGCTCATTGTCTTGGTGTTATCTTTGATCCTGGCCTCACCTTTGAACCTCGTATCTAGAATGTTGAAAAAACCTGTCGATTCCACCTTAAAAATATCGCCTGCATCCACCCATTTCTCACGGAAGGAGATTGTTTATGCTCTGGTAATCTCTTGCATGGATTACTGTAATTCTCTCCTAATTGGTCTCCCCAGAAGCCGAACTGCCCCGCTAAAATCAGTAATGAATGCTGCCGCGAGACTAATCTTTCTCACCCGTCGCTCCTCCAATACCTCACCCCTCTGTCGACCATTACACTGGCTTCCTGTATCCAATAGGTGTCAATTCAAAATACTAACCCTTACCTATAAAGCTCTAACCAACTGTAGCCCCCTATTTTTGAGACCTGAGCGGGGACTAACCAAAATGCAAACTATTGAGGATTCTATAAGCTTTTATCTGTTTTCAGAGTTTTTGTATTCTCACGTGTGCATAGCCAGTATTGTTCAATTAACCCATCGCTTCAACACTGGTGCCCAAAAGTTGGGCAAATTTAAAGTGCTTAATAATGTACTTTCCTTCGATATAACTACTAAGCGCTTTAGCTGAACATTTGTTATATCTATTGAATCTGTGAATGATCTCACGGCTCCACTATTTTTTGTGACCATTGTTACTGTCTAGTTTAAATATTTCAATCCATCTATAGCCATCTAGCTGTAGACACCTATCCATATGTCTGTTACTGGCCAGGACAAGGTTGTGCAGCGTTGTGTGCTGTGAGTTGTGAAGGTAGTTCTTGATGCCAATCAGCCACTGATGTCGCTGGCTCTTCTTAAGGAATCTTCTGCTGTGAGGATAGTTATTGTGTCCTACTCTTTCTCTTCCCTATTCAAGGACGTCAGAAATAACTTTTATTTCTAACATCATACAAAATATGTTCCACCATAGAAAACTTGTTATTAGTCATTGAATCAATATTTGGCACCTAATCTGTCAAGTAATAGCATGTTACAACATTAAATCAGGGTGCTAGAAGAGTTGAGCGGACACCTGGATGTTCGGGTTTGCCGAGTTTGGTTGAACTTCGGCAAAAAGTTCGAGTTCGGGCTCGAACTTGACCCGAACTTGACCCCGAATCCCATTGAAGTCAATGGGGAACCGAACTTTTGGGCACTAAAAGTTCTCTAAAAAAGTCCTGGAAAGGGCTAGAGGGCTGTAAAAGGAAGTAAAATGGGGAAGAATAGGACAAGTGCCCTGCAAACAAATGTGGATAGGGAAATAACTTAAAATAACATAAAATACATAAAAAAGAATAATCTTGAACTAGGAGGAGGAGGTGGCTGTGGAGTAGGAGGTTGAGGAGGCGGTGACCGTGGCAGTATAGGTGGAAGCGGCGGTGGAGGAGGTAGCCAA